ATCTGCATCATTTTTCTTAATCAGCCTAGTCCCCTTAAACAAAGGCACCCATCGGCAGTGATTGCTCACCTCCCCCGTGGGCCATGTGAGCAAGACTGCAGGGTCCTCTGAGGGCAGCAGGTGGAGAGCAGTTTATGCCCCTGTCTCTCTCCACGTACTGGGAGCATAGGCGGAATGGTTTGTGAAAAGCTCTGCCATTTGGAAAAGACAGGCAGAATGCAAGCAGCTTAGAAGGCAAGTATGAAAGATATTAGATTTCTAACTGGGAAGGTCTAGTTCAAAAACTTGGAAAAAAGTACATCCTGTATAAGGCAAAATTCAGCAGATCTGAAAGCCCACAAAAGATGCTGGTGGGACTGGTAAAAGGCATTCAAGAGATGGCTTACCTGTTGGAGTAGGCTTATAACATCTATGAATATAGTTTATTTTCACCATTTTGTTTATCATGGTGTATATTTGTCTTTTACTTTGTTTTTCTATAAATACTTGAGTAAGTCCTGCCTCTTCCGCTTAGTAGCTGTATGATTTGGAGCAAGTTTCTCAATGCATTAAGTGGAGGTAATGATACATAGTAGATAGTATAGTGAAGACTAAATGAGATAATATAGAGCATAGAACATGGTCCAAGACAAAAATATTAGCTATTAATTCCTATCATCATAATCATTACAAGTCTGTGTAAGCTGCTTTTCATTTGAGCTGCTGTTAAAATTCCACCTTTTCTCAAATTGACCTTCAGGCCAGTTTAGTTCAGCAGACATATTACTGAGTGCTCAGTATATTCCAGGCACTGAAGTGATACCGATGGTACACTAAGTAAGACACTGACCTTGCCCTTGAGTAGCTTTCTAGCAGGGAAGGCAAATCCATTAGTAGATTATTTCAGTTTAAGGCTGGGCTGTCCAATACACTCACCAATAACCACATGTGGCTATTGAGCACTGAAAATGTGGCCAGTGTGTATTGAGATGTGCTGTACATGTAAAATCTACATTGGATTTTAGAGACTTGGAATAAAAAAAGAATGTAAAAGTATCTAATAATTTTAGTAAGGTATTGATTACCTGTTGAAATAATATTCTGGATAGGTTGGGTTAAATAAGAGACATAATTAAAATTTTACCTGTTTCTTTTTAAACACTGTGCTTACTAGAAAATTTAAATGTATGTGGCTTCTGTTGTATTTCTATTGGACAGCACTCTTCTAAGGTGATACAATGGATGTTAAAACAGTGCGCTTTGGGAGTGCAGAGAGGCAGCATGTCATGCAGCCGAGGGGTTGAAGGAGGGCTGCCTGGAAGAAGCTGCCTGCATTCTGAGCTGAGTCTGCGAAGATGAGCAGAGGTTAGCTAGACAATGACAAATCTGAATAAAGAGCATTCTAGATTGCGGTAACAGGAAAGGCATGGAAAGTACGATGTTTGTGGGGACACTGGAAACAGTTAGTTGCCCCACAGCAAGAAGTTGTGTTGGTTGGGGACTGGCAGCAGGTGAAGCTACCAGAGAAGGGAAGCCTGGTTTCCCCATCATTTAACATCTAATCATCATTCAGTTCATATCCGTGAGGTCTGGTTATGTTTATTCTATTTACTTGTTTGAAGTTTTGGATTATTAGTTATTGAACATTGGAAGTTTATACAAGAATAGGACTATCCTGAAACTAAGACTAGTGAATGCACACATGCTGCTCAGAAGGCAGAATGCCATTTTCCCCCTGCAGAAAGCCCTACTGAGTGGACAGTCTGCCTAAAGTCACTGCCCAGAGTATAGGACTAATGAATGAGAACCATATAGGAAGCAAGCGCTTTTGATATGTTCTGATTCAGTGGGTCCATGGAGAACACACATAACTGCCTTCACATGCACTTATCTGTCACGGAAGTTCAATGGGAGTCCCTCCCACCTTCAAATTCCCACCACTAAGGAGTAAAATCATTCATCAGATTGTATTCATTTGGATGCTCATCATACTCATTCTATCATGAATCACCTTCTGATCTTCTGCATTTAGTAGCTCATTATTAAGTGGGCATTTAGTAGGGCATGCAGGAGTAGGTGGAAGAGGACTAGCAAATGGAGACCCCAAACCTAACAGGATGGAGAAGTTAGAGAGTTTGAGGGCACCTTCCAGGCCTACTTCTCCCTTAAGTGTATTTGAATAACATGGGAATCTGAAAGTGCTCATTCTGAGTCATTCTGTCCATGGGTGGAAGCAACCACCTCTGTTTTCATCAAGGTCCCAGGTGATGTCAGTGCTTTTGGTCCATGGACCTCACTTTGAGTTCCAAGGTCTTAGAGTCTCTTCAGTACAATTCTTTCTCCAGGCTGAAGTCTACATCCCACAGCCCTGCTGAGTGAGTCATTGGAAGCCTTTGCAGGGAGACCTCTGGTGTGCTTCACTCCCTCCTCCTTTGGGAAATGAGTCCAACTGTGGGAACAGATTTTCTTGTCCCTAGATGCTATCTGGGAAATTTCTGTGCCTTGGTCCTTGTTCTGTTTTTGGAACCACAAGATAAAAATTTGAAGAACATTTTTATATTCCCCTTAATTCTTCTTCTCAGTGGATTAAATCTCCTCATCTCCATCTGGACTCTCCCAGGAATTAGTGTTCTATAAGTGTCCCTCTTCTAACTGAGCACAACACTCCAAGCTCTGTCCAAACATCAGAGCAAAATGGGCCTTTTCCCTTCCCAGCTGTGGACTCTCTCCTTCTGCCAGAGGTCCTCAGTTATTCGGTGGTTTGGCACCCACATCAGACTTTAGGTTTGGACTGAACTTTGTTGATAAGAAAAAGCCCTGTTTTTTCTCACTGGTTGCTGTAGACTCATCCAGCACTTGTGGAGTTGAGTTTTTTAAAAAAGAAGGTTTTCTGATTATAAAATAAATAGTCGAAAATTTACAAAATGTCAACAAGCAAAATGACTACTATTAACATGTAGCTGTATATGTAAACCAATTATTTTATGCATAGGGATTCCTATGTATTATCAGTGGCATTGAGCTATCTTTCATGAAAATGTTTCATGTAGCATTTTCATTAACTATATAATATTCAATTATATTGAAATTTTGTAGTTTATTCAACCAGTCCTCTGTTGTTGGACTTGTGGGGTATTTCTGATTTTTTTATCACTGGAATTAATGTTTTAATAAACATTCATGAAACTAAATTTTATATACATGTTTGATTAAGGTAAATTCCTAGAAGTGAAATTACTGAGCTGAAAGAGACAGTATTTAAGTTTTTTAGTTTATTTGTCTATCATACTGTCTTCTAGAAGTATTGTACTAATGTGTATCACCAACAGTAAGAGTACTGATTTCTCTACATACTTGTACCCATAATCATTTTTTAAAAAGTCTTTGTCTATTTGGAGAACAAAAACAAATGATATTCCACTGTTTTATTTTGCATTTTTAATAACTAGTGATATTGAACGTTTCTCATTTGTTATTGCAATTTTAATTACTTCTTTTAGGGAATTCTATCTGTTGCTCATTGTTAGGACATTTTAATTTTTCTTACTGGCTTGATAGTTTATAGTACAAAAGGTCTTCTGCCTTTGTACCTCATTATTAAATGACTGTCGTCTTGGTCATGCAAAGAATTTAGTGCAAAGAGCATCTTATCGCAGGTAATTTTCCCAGTGTCCAGTGTGTTATTTGCATTTTAGTTTGGTATTCCATTATAACTGAAATGTGTTCTGGAGTGTGTCCTCTATCAGATTATTCTTGATTTATAGAAAAGTTGTATGTTTTTTGTATATGTGTTACTTAACTGGTGAGCTTGCTAAACATTCATTTTCATTCGCATCATTTTTAAGTTAATTTTGAGTCTCATCTCTTTATCTTATTGTATTAGCTAGAAATTCCAGAACATTGCTAACTTAAAGTGGTGTTAATAGGCATCCTTGTCTTGTTCCTGACTTTAATAGGAATACATTACATTTCATTATTAAGCATGACACTGGCTTTTGGTTTGAGATCTGTATCAAAGCAAACATATATTTGCTAATAAAATATCCATTTATTCAGATGTTTTCATAATTTAAAAAATCAACAATTGCTGAATTTTATCAAATTATCTTTTAGTATCTGTTTATAAGAATGTGCTTTGTGTGCATCTCTTTCTGTCTTGAAACATTTTCTAACTTAGAGAAAACTTGTAATTCCAGTACAAATAACTATTTTTCCTGAACCATTTGAGAATATGTTGCTGACATGATGCCCCATTAACCCTGAGTACTTTAGTGTATATTTTCTACAAACAACAAATATTCTCCTACATTATCAAAATTCAGCCATCAAAACCAGGAAATAAACATTGATAGATAGATAACATTGTCATCTAATCTCTAACTCCCATTCAAGTTCTGCCAAATGTTCCAGCCCCTAACAGCTAGGAGTTGAAGTTTTTAACAAACATCTGGATGTGAATTACACCTCGATCAAGCCATTATTAAGAGAATTGTGTGTTGCATTTAGGTTACTAGGTCTCTTTACTCTCCTTCAATGTGGAATCATTGTTCAGATATATAGGTGGCACTATTATTCAGTCCTTTCTTGCTTTATTGACCTGGATACTTTTGATAATTACAGGCCAGCTCTTTCATAGATTGTTCCTCTACTTTAATTTATCTGACGTTTCCTCATAATTACATTCAGGTCATGCATTTTGGCTGGAAACATCACAGAAGGGATATACTGTATTCTTCTCATTATACCTTTTCAAGTGCTACATGATTTTGATTTGTCTCATTATTGATGACATTCAAATTTATCACTTGACTAAGTGTTACCTGTCAGGTTTCCCTCCTGTCAAGTCATTTGTTTCCCTCTTAAATAATTTTATTTTGTGGAAAGTTTAAAGGGCATAAATATCCCATTCTTTATCATTCATTCATTCATTTATTTTATATCAGTATGAACCCATGTTTTCATAATGAATTTGCCATGTTATGATCATTACTGAAATTACTTATTTTGATGTATTACTCCAGGTTTGACCAGGGGGTGCCCCTTTACACAGGCGTTGGTGTCCTTTTGGTGTATCCCCTTCGTACTGTGAGTGCCTACTCACTCTTTGATGCAAGAAGTTCCAGTTTCATCTTGTACTCTACCTTCCCCAACCTGAGAAACAGCCATTTTTCTGAGAAGCCTGGTTCCTCTTGTAGAGAATGATATTTAGACACCCAGGGTTGATCTAAGGTATGTTGATGGCTCTTTGGGTGTTATTGCTTGTAAGCCGTTCTCAGTGGACTGAGCTACAGAGAATGTGTATGTCTGTGTGTGTATACCTTGCTGTCTCTGTAACGTTTCTGTCTTACCTGTCCATCCATCTGTCCATTTATAGAGAACCCCGAGTTTATAGTGATACTGTTACTCCAATCCCACTCAATAGATTTATTCTGGTTTTCTCCCTTTCCACATTAGTAACTCCCTTATCTGAGAGTAAGAAACCATGACTATTGCTATTCTTAAGATAGTTTCCTATGTGATCTAACTCTTGTGTAAAACCAGTCCTCCATCTATCCCCCCTCCCGCCCCATGTATGCCTTTCTCAAACCACTCCACTTCCAACACACTCCCACCTCTTCTTGGACCCAGCTAGTGGCTTTTGGACTGAAATGTTCTGGAAGGAAAGGGGGATAGAATGAAGAGGAAAAAAAGCTGTTTTTCTCTTTTGCCTTGTAATTTTGTGAATTATACTAATAAGTTTTTCCAATATTGACATCTCTGTGGACTTTCACAATGTCCTGCTTTGATTTTTCTACTCTTCCATTCAAGAATTTTTGATCAGGTAATTTATTTTGCTGATCTGAAAAAGCTTTGAAGTGCTAGAAGTTTTCTTAGACATTCCCTTAATTTCATTCTCTTTCATTTCTACAGGGGGAATACAAGTCTTTCTCTTGACTTCTTTGCATTTTTCAAGTGCCTTGATATTTTGGAAATGTACCAGAATAATGGGTGCTTTTTCAGTGATGGAAATTGTTGATAAGTCCCAGAAGCAAGGAATTACAGAATATCTATTTTCCAGTGGTGATATATGACTCTCACAAAACCACACCATTATTTAAAATACCCTAATGAGATTTTTCATAGAAATGGAACAGAGATTCCTAACACTTCCTGGAATTTCCCTTAAAAAAAGGAAGGAAAAAGAATTCAACTGAAAGCCCATTTTTTCGCTTAGTATTGGAAGGGACCAGCCTTAAAGAATAATTGGTGAGTAACCAATCCCAGTACCACTATCCTTCATCTCCTCCATGTCCAGCCTAACCCAAAAGAATTTCTTAGAGCCCACAAAAAGGTTAATTGAAAAAGATAAATTTGCTTTGGTAAGTATTTGCATTTTAAGCAGAGATGGAATTTGGGGAAGTGTCATATGGACATCTCTCCTTCTACATATCTTAATAATTGTCAGTGACCTGAAACTTGGAGCAGGTTATGATGGTTAAATAATGTCCACTGTTTTGCTCTTTGGGCATGTCTTGTCCCCCACATGATCATGACCACATTGCCTTGGGTCCAAGAAGCCTAAAATGCATTAATTGCTTATGCTTATCTGCATAGTTGGTTAATTTTACAGGTTTGATTTTCTTCCTCTGACAGACAACAAAGCCTGGATTGCTGTCCTTTTCAATATTCACACTTTCTATCCCATCTCCCCTCTACCACCATTTCTGTTTAAAGAAGATATTATTTATGATGTATGTAGATACCATCAAAAAGATACATTTGCCCCTGTGTGCACACACACACATCTCCACAGTACATGTGTGATCCTATTTATGTTATTTTTAATTTTTTCTTGACTGAACCACTTCTAAAAAAAATTTGAGTAAGACAAAAGCTGGCAAAAGAGATGAGGGAAGAAAGGATGATATGTTTTGGTTATGAGGTTTGAATCTATTTTAGCATAGTCAGTTTGACTTTGGGGACCCATGTAGGGAGTATCCCAATTATCCAAATAAGGAAATGTCTGGAAGCAATAAATAGAAGTTGCATTTTGGAAGTACATCAACTGGAATCTCGTCTGAGCCTGTGCTTAGAATGTTCATTCAACAAATATTTATTGAGAGCCTTCCATGTGCTGGACACTGGCCTAGGATCTGGACATAGATCAATAAGTGAAGATCAGCATGGTCCTTGCTGGTAAATTTAACAACTGGTTTTTCAGGAACAAAAACCTTGATTGTTAGTAGTTGCCCATTTCTGTGATATAAATACTCCCACCATAGCTATTCAAGCTACCCATGTTCTATATTGCCTGGAACATAGGAAGAGCTCATAAAATGGCAACCACCATCGGTCTTCATATCTTGATTGTAATTATCATCAATAAGCTTGCTTTGACAAGTTTAATGAGTTCTACAGGGGACAATGTCTAAGGTGCTCAGGCGTGGGTGTGTGTGAAGATGTAGAGAATCAGAGAAGTATCTAGATTTGGTATGGTTTCCTCAGAAAGATGTGGGAGGAGGGAAAGTTAGACAACAAAATGGGACTTTGTTTTCTTTTTCTAAAAGTCTGTAAGTTTGAATTTCCATGAGTATATGTCACCTTTATAATTTCTAAAAACGAGAACTCTCAGTGCCCAAGTGGAGCAAGCACAGTCAGTGACCAAATGCAGGGTATCCAGTTGGTCATGAGAGGGTCCTGCACCACAATATGTGACTCGTTGCAGATGTAATCATTGCTAAATGATTGTTAAGCTATTTTCCTGGTTAAAAGTGACTTACACTGCTGACAAGATAAAACAGAATCAAGAAAGTTGTTAAGTTTTCTGTCTGCTGTTGAACAAACCACTCTAAGTCGGTAGCATAAGACAATGACAATATTTATTTTGCTCACATATTTGTAATTTGGGTTGGGCATGCTGGGGGCATTTTATCTCTGCTCTGTGAGGCAGGTGGGGTGACTGCAAGGCTGAAGGGTAGAATCATCTGAAGGGTCCGTCACTCATGTGTTTGGCTCATGGCTGGGACCACAGTGGGACTGTGGCTGGAACCCTTCCATGTGGTGTCTTTTCTCTCCCACAGTATGGTGGCTGGGTTCCAAAGGTGAGTGTCCCTACGGAGAGCCAGGGGGAAGCACACTTTCTTCATATTCTCTTAGTCAAAGTGGTCACAAAGCCCAGGTCTCAGGAGAGAGTAATTAAAGTCTGCCTCCTGAGCAGGTAGCAAATTCTGCAAAAGGTGTGAGACCAGAAATAGTAATGTCATTTTTGGGAAATACAACCTGCCACAGTAAGTCCTCTCCTTTCTGAACTATGTATCTACATATCTGTCATCTGTACTACATACTCACAGAGCAAATATGGAAAGTTATCCAGATCCTTTCAAGTTCTCAGCTGAAAGTGAATATTGCAACTTTACTCCAGAAACCACATTCCTGCACTGTGAAAGCTGTACATTCTTATATGGAAAATAAAAATGATTTTACTATTACAGTTTTATATTCCCCATGCCTAGCACAGCCAAAGTTTTTAATTTTCCTATGTACTGTAAAGTTTATCTTAACCTAAAAGGCAGATTAACACATACAGGGATAGTGACAGTCTACCCTCACTAGGTCTGACTCAAGTAGTTGATGGGTTTGTAGTATTTTTGCCTGTAAACTAACTTCTCAAATGCAAAAAGAGATTGAACATGGAAAGGAGATTCATGAAAATGGATGTTTTACAATGGCATTTCAAATATTCCTCTCAAAAAGGTATCCTTATTTATCTATCAGCCCACTTTTTACAAGGTTGTATTGATCTTAATGTGTTTTGAGAGTCAGATGCACTTCTCATTTATTATTAGGGCTTGAGTTAACCTATTCATCTGTATCCCCAATATCCTTGGTTCTTACTGGGACATGAATTTATAGGACAAATTGACAGGAGACTGATCATCAGGTATGTATGGATTACCAAGAGAGAAACACACAGAGAATTGTCAGAAAACATCCAATTAATGGAGTCTGCTACCTTTGAGTCTCCTTTTATTTTGTGGTATGAATTGTTATCCCCAAACTAGCTGTAAACTAAATCTGCAGGATCCTAATTTATAAAAACACTATTACTGTAAATTTTACTTCTTTGAACACATTAAGCTCTTTTGCCAAGTTATGTGTAAAACAAAAAGAAAAAAAAAAAGACATTTACACTGTCTTTGAAAAAGTGTGAAAAACAGCTTTTATTCATGGTGGATAAATTCATCAAATTGAATTCTAACAAAATTTTCCTCCATGTATTTTCTTGTTTAGAGTGAAGATAACCATGATATACATCTTTTAAGGTAAGTCAACGTTTTTTTATTTCAGAAGCTTGCTAAAGACGTGTTACTTTTAGCCGTTGTTTTTCTCCTGTAACTGCAATGCTGATATAGCAAAATGAGGAAACTGCTGGCACAAATGGAACCAAATATCCTGTGCCTGCATGTTTGTTCATGGATGTATACTCGTAAGGGACATTCACTGATCTTCCCAGCTCAGACGATTAATTATAAAAATCATCACTAAAGATCGTCCACATGGTTGTTCTTCAGCTCACTTAGAGAAGCTTCTATAAAGTACTGGTTTTTCTTGGGTCTGACTCTCGCAAAGATACTGACTCACAGGCCAACTTTGAGACAGAGGAATCTGTTCTTCAGATATTCCCTGTATGACTCTGAGTATCAGCTCAGCAAAGGAGTGGGAATATTTGCTAATTCTTACAATATTTTTTGTGAGGTAAGGTATTTTTGCCTTGAGAGAAATTTTTTATAGCTCAGGACAAAGTAATATTATCTTTGAATTTCTATTCCCATTACATTTTACAATACAAACTCAGGTTTACAGTAAATTTGTATATGTTGACTCACTTTTGAGTAGAAGCTACAGCTTTATTATGTAGAATGATAATGATGATGATTCTAATTATTGGGTAGGATTTTTCCTTTAGGTTCCCCAGGTCCCTTTAGCTGGCCCTCATGTAATAAATGAAAAACTACAATTAATCGTGGTTAGAGGCAATGAAAGGGGCATGGTTCAGAAAAGGGAACATTGGTGTATAAAGCCACAAAGAATAAGATTTCCATAGGTAGAGGGAACAGAATAAGCGAAGGCACAGATGCTTGAAGTTACCTGGCACATTCAAGGATGGGTGAGCAGCTCACTATAACCAGGGTACTTTATATATGCAAGCTATCTGTGGCTTGAAATATTCAGACGAGACTTTCAGTGATGGGGGCAAAGAATTCTATCTCAATTCCATTCCCAGTCGTCTGGAGTGACTTTTAAGGAATGTGTTATGGTGAGTTCTGCGGCTGTATCTGGCTCTGGAGTTGATTAGGGCTCAGTTATGGGCAGAAGAGGGAGCAATGTATTTTCTATCCCTGGTCTACATGATGTCAGTTTTGTGTATGTATTCTTGATGTTAATATTTTCCTTCACACCTTCTCTTAATTTAGTATATAGATTCAGTATCTTCGTCCTGCTCTTGATTCTTATGACAGCATGGATTATACAGTGAGATCCTTGAGGGCTTTGTGAAATGCTGATTCTTGGACAAGGGAGTCTTGCTTTGGTGTCATTTTAACCCTATTGGTGGGCACTGTGGCCGGACTCAGTGAAAACAGGCGAAATACAGCCCAGTGTCTACTCATGAGTTTCTGAAGCAGTGATTGAGTCAAAGGGATGATTTACTGACTGTAAATCTGATTTGCTGCATTTATGGATTTCCACTTAAAAGCTGATGGGGCACAGACATATTTTTCACCAAAAGAAAAAGAGCTAAAGTAGAAATGAGGCCCTACTTCAGTTTTTACCAAGAAAGTTCACACTGATTATCAGCACCTGCAACTCTTGGTTGGTCTAATAATGTCTTAGTTTACTAGTTTTCAGAAACAAATCCAACTACTTTGTGATTAAAGCAATTTTTAAAATGCATATTTACCTCCTTAAAACTGTAATTTATGGGAAAATTTTTAATTCCCACTACTTCTTTGTTATGTCTAGCAATCTCATTTGGACAAAATATATAGGCTATTCATTAAAACCCCTTAAAAATTTTATAATTGCTTAGTATGGTTATTCAATTCTAAAATTAGGATCTATACATTGTAATTTCTGTGAACATTTCATAAAGCATTTTCTGTCTGTTCCATCTTATATCTCCCACTCCCTTCTCCCTGGTACCAAAATGTTATTAAATCTCTGCTGCTTCTTAGCCATTTTAGAAATGAGGAAATGTAGAAAGTACATGCATGGGAGATGGATGACTCTCACTGATTTTGCAAAAAAGGAAAGAATGGGAACACGATCAGTAAGGCAGAACTACTCTGAAGATTTCCAAACCCTGTCTCTCTCTCTCCCATTATTTTGAAGGTGGCTCTGTGTATGTCTGACAGCTGAAGTTTGAGATGACTTTTCTGCATTGTCTAAAAGAGCAGGAAAAGATGTCTCAGGTACCTTAAAATTACTTTATTGCCAATATTTTTAAATTGCTCTGGTTTAGTAAGTTAATAAGGTCAATTAGTTATTGGTGCTGGAGGGAACAACTTTATTTTTGCCTGGAGATTAAGTTAAAAACCTTAGACTGTGAAATCTAGAGGGAATTTTGCCAGTTCTGCCAAATTGCTGGGTATGGGGCTTGTTCTATAAGAACCTTCACCTAGTTTAAGGTCCAGAGTTCTGCTTGGGAATCCCTCAGCCTGATGATTATGAAAGTTCTTAGGTACTTCCTGCCCCATTACTTTTGATAAGTTGCTTAATGCGCAACAAAGTATGGGGGGTCAGACAGACTGCAGTTCAAGCCTCCAGTGTTGCCTCCTTTTAGATTTGTGCGGGCCAAGTTACTCGACATCCCTCACCCTGATTTATTCAAGTCATTCACAAAAAATGAGGCTCAGACATCTAGAATGTGCCTAGCCTGTGGACTGAGCACACATTGCTAAACAGAAGACATAGCTCCTACTTTCAAAGAGCTCAGCTCATAAGATACATGCAAATGAGTTGCCAATTACAGTCTCAAGGACAAGTTCACTGACAGCCCCAGGCTTTGAGATGGGACACAATGTGCAGGCAAACCTGTTGGAGAAATCATGTCAAAGCTGAGATAATGACTTGGAGCAACGTTGAGTGGCTTAGCTTTCTTCCCTGTAAAATGGGGACACACCTACCTTGTTAGGTTTCAGTGAGAAGTAGAGACACTGAATGTAATACACAAGCACTGTGCCTGACAGTTCATTATACTAAATAGGTACCATCCTAGGCAGTGGAGATTCCCATGAATAGGATGCTGTCCTGTCCTCCAGACTTAGAAGCCAGAAGTCCAGCTCCAGCTCCCTGGGCTGCCTCTATTATTGCTCTTGTCCCCTGTTGTGTATTCATTGCTTAGCAGTTCCTAGTGGACGTTTGCTGTTCATCATATCCCCTCTAGCAGAAGCAGTCAGTGCCTAGTTCATATTGCCCTTACCTTTTCACCTTATACCTGCCCAACTTTCAACTGCCAGCCTCTGATTTGCGTGAAGGTTTTCTCTGGCTGCTGAGGCCCACTCAGCTCACACATGAGGGAGGGAGGCTGGGAGCGTGAAGGAATTAAGCCCCAACCCAGCTGCTCCCAATAGTTTGGATACAGTTAGGGGATGAATAGCCCAACTCTCAGCCTCTGGGTCCAATGGCTCTGAGGCATGTCCCTTATACCAGCTCCAAGTTCCCCTACAGGAATTAGTTATCCCATAGTGATGTCTCGATTGATAATTTGCCCTCCCTCGGCTGTTTCACCTTCCCCACTTCTTTTCCAGTGTTGAGAAAAAAAAAAACAAACGCAGGCTCAAAAAGGAGTCCTTAGGCTAGGTCAAGTCACCAAACCCAGAATTAATACCTAAGTTGATTGCCCTTTTAGCCTCTCTCCAGAAATGCAGTCCTAACTGATCAGTCAGGAACTTTCTGGTCAGCAGCAGTAAGGTGGCCTGCCGTATAGACCTCCTCCATCCCCCAGAGGAAGATGAAGTAATCTACCTAGTAAAACCCTTTTGCCCCAGAGAAAGGTGACCTCACCTGAATAATCCCTTTTTCTGTTTATGACTTCCTAGTCCTACATTTAAAAACCTTTCCCTTTCTGTAGCCTTTGGGAAATTTCTTCCACTTGCTGGATGGGCTGCTGCCCCATTCATGAATTAAGAAAACCACTGAGATATTAAAATTTACTCAGTTGAATTTTTGTTATTTAGCAGATTTAGTGACAGCAACAGGATCTGAAGTGAACTTGCAGCAGCTTTTGGGGACAAGAAACATAAGCACGGTACCCATGAACCCGTTGAATTCAGTTCCTCCCCATACTGAGCTCCACTCTCTTTGCATTGAGCTCCCAATCCAATTGGCTTTCCTTTACTGGGCAGGTCAGTTGAGCCAACCACAGCTCCCAGGGTGGCACACTCCAGGCCTTAGCTCTCTCCCTGCATTCCACATTGGGAACTGCTGACAGTTTTGTCTGCAGCCCCCATTCTTTGGGGCTTGCTGGTTCAATCCCTTCCCCAGTCCAAGGACCCATGGGGATTGTTGGTGTGCTCAAGGCCTGCTCTTGACCAGGATGCAATGGAATCTCTTGGTTGCTGCTGATCTGTTAAGGTGCACTGCTTTGTCTGTCTTACATTATGTAGATAAAGGCTATTATTAACACATATCTCAGAGATCAAAGAAGCTGCAAAAATTGGTGGGGCCAGGTCAAGCAATTAAATCATTAAAGAGCACTTGCCACCTAACTCAAAGACTCCTGTGATAAGAGAAATTGGTCATGGAATGGGTTAGACTCACACTATGTCATCTGCCAACTTCAAGTGCAGCCATGTACACTATAAAGCACTCTGAAGTTCCCAATCCTGCAACATGGCCCTCTTAGACATGTTTGGCTCTGAGAAACCCAAAGGTGAAAGGGGATCCCTTTGATCCAAAGAGTTCGCTGCACCACCTGCTTATTTTACGTCTAAGAAGGAGAGCCCTGGCAGTTGCAAATATCTAATAAAATGACAAAATCTTAAAGACAGCCTAGAATTACAATAGCCATTATGGGCAACATTCTAATTAGTTGAAATCATGTAAGAAGTCTACCTGAAAGCAGAGCTTCCCAAGTTAACAGAATGGGATACCTATTTTAACTGACACCACTCCTATAGCTCCCCTCTCACAACCTTTGTGTACTTGTTCTAATAATCCTGTCTGAATTATATTTCCACTCTGAAAAGACCACATGACTGTGAACAAAAGACCACCAAGTTAATGGCCTTAAAGATACCCCCCACATCTATCCTCAAAGGAGGGCCCCCATATGGGCCCTCCCAGAGTTGATGAACCTGAAGGATTTCATGGTAAACTGATACATTATTCCCTTAAATAGCCAAGGAAAAAAAATCTGGTGGGTACCAGAGCCTGCCCAGGAGAGTCTGGAAAATAAATGATGGAAGCCAGCAAAGGGTGAAAATTCTTGGCTCTTCTGAATCTCCGTGAGAAGTGTCCAGTCAAGAGAAGAAAATAAAATGAGACAAACAGGAAGGCAATAAATATTTTGGGGGTTCGGTTTGGGGTTCAATTTAAGGTGAGGAAAGGGTTACAGTCAGATTAGGGTTCAGAGTTAATTTTGGGGCTAGCCTTACGTTTAGGTTTAGGCTTGTGGTTGGGTGTGAGTGAAGGTGAGGGTGAGTTGTTAGGGTGAATAGCCAGAATTAGGGGGAGCTGTAGTTTTAGGATTCAATGTAGGGTAAGGATAGGGTTACAGTCACAGTTAGGGTTCAGAGTTAATATTAAAGTTAGCATTAGGTTTAAGTGTAGATTTATAGTTAGGTGTGGCTGAAGGTGATAGGTAAGAGTGAGGGTCTGGGTGAGTAGCCAGCATCAGGGTGAGGGCTAGGTTTAGGGTTCAGTATAGGGTGAGTTTAGGGTTACAGAAGAAGTAAGGGTTCGGATTTAATGTTAGGATTAGCATTAGGTTTTACTTTAGGCTCTTGGTTAGGTGTGGATAGAACTGAGGGTGACAGGTTATGGTCTGTTGCCAAGGTTAGGGTTAGGGTTAGGTTTAGAGTTCAGTGTAGGGTGAGGATATGGTTATAATTCAAGTTAGGGATCGGGAAAGTAGCAAATTAAGGATGATGTAGGTGGATTGGACTATGATGTCATTTAAGTTTAAACACAATTCTTTGAGTAATTGATAGCGACTGTCCTTATCTTACAAATCTTTGCAAAACTAGAAATATGGCTCTGGAGAATTTTCTAATTCCACCCATTCCTTTTCTGTAATCCCAAAACCTCCCCCATTTACCTCAAAAGGCTTGTAACTTATCAGGGAAGTTTTATCTAGATCATTCAGATCATTCCTAATTCCTAAGACTCAGTGGGGGCAAGAAAAGGGAAAACAGGCCTTTTAAAACTACTGTTACAGAAGATTTTGTGCCCCAAATCTAGCCCACAGCTTCCATAAAGTTACTTGCCAAGGGCAAATAGACATCCTGTGTCTTCTGCACAAATATTAATAGAAAAAGTTTTAGCCATCAAGTACAGGTAACCTTAAGTAACCTTAACCTACCGCATTCCAGAAAAACTGTTTGAATCCAACTGTTATGTCATAAACTAGTGAGTTTTGCATTATTGTACCCTTCTCAGGGCTAAAACTTTTAAAACAACTAAGGCCTGTGATTACATCTGTGTGTGTGTGTTGTAGATGTGTGGTATTTTCTACCTCTGGATGGTGTTGCCACAGTTAACCTGTGAAAGAACTCCATTTCATTGACTTAAGCTAAACTAATTATCAAGACATAATAGAAACAATCCAAATGTTTTTCAAGTCCACATGATCTAGGATTAATCTTTAATAAATAAAAGCTAATTGGGGTTTGTCGGTTTGTCTTTAGAGTTAGCAGCATTAAATATAATACTTGTGTTCCACCTAAGTTTACTAAATGTCAAAGAAGGTCATGTTATCTCTGTTGCAGAATTTCTCAGCTGGAAAGATAACTTAAAGATGATGGTTAGCTATTTAATGTCTAATGAAATTTTCATGACTAATGTAAACAGTTATTAAGATAAGAACAAGTGAATTAAACAGATGTAAGATAAACGTTGATAAAGAACTTCTCAGCAATATGTATGTCTACCTAAATAGTTTCCCCAAGTGTTTTTGGTAACTTACAGTTTTACTAAATTACATGATGGCTAGTCATTAAAGATCTAGATCATTTCCAAATGATATAAAATACTCTAACATTAGTTACTGAATATAGGTTTAACTACTTTTGGCTTATTACAGAGAAACTAAGAAGTATGTTAATGTATTAGAGGTATATTGGAAAATTGAAAAAGGCATATGCTTCTAGAAATTATGAATAAATTTTTTAATTTTCCATCCTAAAACATATTGGTGTAGTATTTCACAATGGCTTACTACTTAGTGGCTTTAATTACATATCTTATAATTTTTTAAATCCGAGAGATCTTAATTTCTAGTGAGAACTAAGTTTTGAGGAAAAGAAATATTTGGAAAGAAATTTTAATATGTGATCTAGCTCATTAAGATTAAAATGAATTTGACTAAGTTAAAAGTACAAAGTTTTCTTGGACTGTTGGTCTGCTTTTGACAACAGAAAGTGAGAATTTCTATGCCTTTTAAGTAATAGATATAGAAAACAAAGATCCTATGTTTTATTAACATAATTTCCTGTGTTTGCTGTCTCTGTCAATTCTTTGATTCCTTAGGAAAACCATGTCTTCTTTAGTATTAAAGGAGCTAAATTTTGCTAACAATTAGTTCAGTTTTGTAATGATTTGCAGTACTATTTAGCAAGAGCTTTAAAATATTTTCTTGATATTTTTTATAAACTTCCCCAAATCAAACTCTAAATAAGTTCTTTTTGACCTGGAAGAAATTTTGGGATTTTTCTGGAGGGTCCCTGGACATTCCAAAAGACTTGTTAAAAAATTAGGCTTAGTTGATGTGTTAAATTACATGGGAAGCATTATGAAATAAAAATACTAAGCTTCCTAATGTTTTATTTGTATAATTATATAAACCTTCTAAAAATTATGTAAATTCCTAGAAATTATGTGAAATTCCTAGAAATATGTCCTGGTATAACATTATCATTTACAATTCTAGCTATCTTAAAATGTTGTATGACATCTTCCAGGACCCCAAACACAGGTAACAAGTAAATGATCTTCTTACTGCTATTCTCTTAACTTTCTAAAATTGTCGTCATCAAAATTAAGGCTCATATAAAAAACACTGAACCTTCATATCAGGGAAATGACTTAGCTGACTTTCATGCAAAGACAGCAGTAACAGAATCTATAAAGATTGTGGCACATGTAGATGAGGTCCACTCTGCCTCTGCAAAAAAATGGCCTCACATTGCCATTGTGTAACATGGCAACAGTCTGCTTCTGAATCAGAGAAACCAAAGTTGTATAAACAATGGCTATAAATTAAACAAGCAGTCAGGGCTATGAGAAATCTAAGACAGGCAACTGATTCTTCCTGGCTCCCTGGCAAACCCCATTTCTCAGTTTTTGCATTCTTTCCCACTGTGGTACATTGAAGATGACTCAAATTACAAGTAGACGTTAGTGGAGAGACTTCTATAATATGGTGAAAACAAGTTATCAGCAATGTGTGACTTGTTAGGTCCATAGTCCGGGAAAAACTGTTTTTGTTTCCAAAGGCCTCAGACCTCCTCCTGGACTTCATTCAACTGCCACTTAGTGTAAGTTATCAATATGTTCTTGATATATGTATGTTTTCCAGATAGGTTGAAGTTTTTCACTGCTATAAGGCTTATGCCCATGCAGTGGCAGAGATACTATTAGAAAATGTGTTTCCCACTTGGTATATATCTTCCACAATCTCCAGTGATCAAGCACCCAGTTCATTAGGCAAATCCTATGGGCCTTAATGAATGTCTTGCAAACTTCTTGGAAGTATCACTGTCCTATCAGCTTTAATCATCAGGCAAGACTGAAGGGGCTAAGGGGATGCTCAAACTTAAACTTCTGAACTTCCATGGCCTAAGGTACTGCCTTTGGTCTTGCTGACTGCTCATAGTGATGCCGGGTTCTTGTTCATGGAGCTGAAGAATGAACTTGAAAAAACAATTAAGGTAGGAGAGCAAGGCAGAGGCTTTTATTTAGAGAGAAAACAGAGCTCCTGGCTCAGGCCAGCAGGGGGCAAGAGAGCCACCGGGTGGTACGTTGTCTGGGGGTCGTGTAGCGAGTTGAGAGACAAAGGGCTAGGGATGTACACCTGCTAAGTGGTCTCAAACACTTTTGAAGAAACACTAAGTTTCTTCCTGGTTATTTCCAAGAATTTTACTGCTGTGATTTCCTCCCAGGATAGCAGCTTCCTGGTCTGGGAGCATATCACTCAAGGCTACCTGCTTTGCTCCCAAGGTGGGCTGAGTTATTGTCTGTTTGTTAAGAAACTTACTTTTTAACTAATTGGGTTTTAAGATGGAATCCTTCCTGTTTTTACTATGTTGTATTGGGCTTGCTTGCTACATTGCCCAAGTTGCAACAAATCATTTGTTTAGGGCTGGAGGAAGAAAAGTAGCACTTGGGTAAAGTCAGAAAAGTAAGCTGGCCCCCCCTCAGTAGTAGGCCAAAGCAAATCTCACAATAGATTATCTTGCTTTTGTTTTTTCCAGAGGTCTTCACCCTGCTCTGTCTAAGAATCTATAAAGATTGTGGCACATGTAGATGAGGTCCACTCTGCCTCATGGTCCCTATCTCAATAGTACCCGCTTTGGGAAACAAACTCGCTCCACACAAAATAGTCACCAGCAGGTCAATGTATAGTGCTGTAAAACCTTCTGCTGATTCTTTGTTGTCATGCTAAGTGTTTGATTCTATAATGTCTTATGCTCAAGCGTATCATCAACAGGTTAAAGAAGCTTTCCCAACTCAAAGGACCTTGTTGATTACAGTTTTGATCTTGGTGACTTGGTTTTCTGGAAACATCATCAGAGGAAGATAGCCCTCAAGCCCCATTGGAAGGGAACTTACTACTGGACATCCTGAACACTGCACTGCTACAGAAATAGAAGGTATTAAGCCTCAGTACACATCACACAGCTGAGAAGGCCCCTCCACCTGACACCTAGCTCTCTGCAGATGCTGGAGGCCGCCAAATCAAACTGATGAGGAAGAAGACTACCAGACATCAAGGTAGACTACTTCACCCCAAATGACAGAACAAGATTTCCTACTTCAACGAAACATGAATTCCCTTGTCCATCTTTTCCTTTCCTTTACTCTGGTGTTTGCCTAGAAAGATAATGCCCTCACATGTATCTCCCAGGCTGATGCTAAGGGGTTAACCTCTGGAATTTAGAAGATTTTATTTCAGGTTAGGAGAAAAATATGTGCCTGTAAATTTTCACAAGCAAAATATGTCATCTCATTGGTCAATTCTCCTGAATTTTTTCATCTAATTAGAAAGGCCCTGTCAAGAGACTGTCATGATTCAGGATTTACTCCTTTTGACAGATCACTACTTCCCTGGTGAGGGATAAATATACATGAGGCAATGACCAGTAACTGCTCCTTAATTCTTGACATAACTGCAGAACCTGCTTCTAAAGCAATAATAGCCCATCAAAGATCCTTAGACTCTCTGGCCAAAATCATTCTCGATAATAGCTCCTATTATCAAGAGTTCTTTGACTGTCTTTTAGCTGAGCAGGGAGATGTCTGTGTGCAAATGAAAGGAGGAGTCACACATTTAAAGCTAGAAATGATTAGTGTAGTGAGGAAGGCATGTGAAAAACTGAGATAGGATGAAAGCTAGGTCTCTTGGGACAAACAGCCCAATTATGAATGGAAAGGAAAAATTCTTAAAGAAAAAGTGCTACTCCAGTGAACATATGAATGATTAAAAAAAAAAAAAAGGCAGAACAGCCTTATTGGTGATGTGAAGAAAGTTTTAGTGGTCTGGTTAGAAGACAAATAGCCGCAACATTCCCTTCAACCAAAGCCTAATCCAGATCAGAGCCCTAACTGTTCAATTCTAGGAAGACTGAGAGGTGAAGGAGCTGCAGAAGTAAAGTCTGAAGCTGGCAGGGGTTGGTTTATGAGGTTTAAGGAAAGAAGCTGTCTCTATAACATAAAAGTATAAAGTCAAGCAGCACATGCTGATACAGAAGCTGCAGCAAGTTATCCAGAAGATCTAGCTAAGATAACTAATGAAGTGGTTACACTAAGCAACAGATTTTTTGCTGTAGAGGAAATAGTCTTCTATTGAAAGAAGATGCCATCTAAGACACTCATAACTAGACAGAAGTCAATGTCTGGCTTCAGAGCTTCCAAGGACAGGCTGACTCTCTTGTTAGGGGCTAATGCAGCTGGTGGCTTTAAGTTGAAACAGTGTTCCTTGATCATTCTGAAAATCCTAGGGCCCTTAAGAATTATGATAAATCTACTCTGACTGTGCTCTCTAGGTGGAACAACAAAGCCTGGATGATTGACAGTACATCTGCTTAGAAGACAGTTTAGTGAATATTTTAAGCCTATTGTTGAGACCTACTGCTCATTGTGTAAATAGTTTCATCGATCTCTTATATTGCTTTTTACTCTCTGAGAGTTAATTCTTCAGAAAGATAAACAAAATTGATAAACCTATAGCTAGATTCATTAGGAAAAAAAGAGGACTCAAAATCAGAAATGAAAAATAAGTTACAATATCATAGAAATATAAATGATTATAAGAGATTGCTATGAAAAAACTATACATACACCAACAAATTAGACAACATAGAAGAGATGGGTAAATTCCTGGAAACATGCAGTCTTCCAAGAACAAACTATGAAAAGATAGAAAATTTGACCAGACTGATTTCTAGTAACAAAATTGAGGCAGTAATAAAAAAACTCCCAACACACAAAAGTCCAATATCAGCTAGCTTCACAGAAGAATTCTACCAAATATTAAAAGAAGAGTTAATACCTATCCTATTCAAACTATTCCAAAATAATTGAAGAGGAAGAAAAGCTTCCAGTTCATTCTATGAGGCCAGCATCATTCTGATACCAAATTCAGACAATGACACTACAAGAAAAGTACAGATGAATATCTCTGATGAGCAGAGATGCAAAAATCCTCAACAAACATTAGCAAGCCAAATTAAAAAATGCATTAGAACAATCAGTCACTACAACCAAGTGGGATATATTCCAAGAATGTGTGGATGGTTCAGTACCCACAAATCAATCACCACATTAACAAAGGGAAGGATAAAAACCATATCTCAATATATATAGAAAAAGCATTTCACAAAATTTAAAATCCATTTATGATTAAAAACTCCCAATGAAGTAGATATAGAGGGAAAGAAAATATCTCAAAGTTAATAAAGGTCATATACAGCAAACCCACAGCTAACATCATAATCAATGGTGAAAAGCTGGAAGCTTTTCTTCTAAGATCAGGACCAAGAGGATTCCCACTCTCATGACTTCTATTCAACATAGTACTGGAAATCCTAACTACATCATTCAGACAAGAAAAAGAAGTAAAATGCATCCAAGTTGGTAAGAAGTAAAATTGTCACTATTTGCAGATGACAGTGATACTACCCACAGAAAATCCTAAAGACCCCACAAAAAAAGCCTGTCAGAATAAATGAATTCAGTAAAGTCATAGGATGCAAAATCAATATACAGATATCTATTGAATTTCTATAAAGTAGTAATGAACTAACAGAAAGCGATATCAAGATAACAATTTCCCATTTAAAATTGCACCAAAAAGAATACCTAGGAGTAAATATAACCAAGAAGGTGAAAGACCTGTACTCTAAAAACTGTTAAGACATTGATGAAAGAAATATGATAAGCTATCCCATGCTCATGGATAGAAAGAATTAATATTGTTAAAATGGCCATACTCCCCAAAGCAATGTACACATTCAATGCAATCCCTATCAAAATACCAATTACATTTTTCACAGAACTAGAGAAAATAATCCTAAAATATGTATGGAACCATGAAAGACCCTGAATAGCCAAAGCAATCTTAAGAAAGAAGAACAAAGCATGGAGGTATGATGCTTCCTGATTTGAAGCTATACTATAAAGCTGTAGTAATCAAAGCACTGTGGCACTGGCACGAAAATAGAGAGCATAGATAAATGTAATAGAGAACCCAGAAACAAACCCACACTGGCACGAAAATAGAGAGCATAGATAAATGTAATAGAGAACCCAGAAACAAACCCACACTTACACAGTCAATCTATGACAAAGGAGGACAGAATATACAGTGGGGAAGAGACGGTCTCTTTGGTAAATGATGTAGGGAAAACTGGACAGCTACATGCAAGAGAATGAAACTAGACCACTGTCTTATACCATACACAAAAATAAACTCAAAATGGATTAAAGACCTAAGTGTAAAACCTGAAACCATGAAACTCAAAGGAGAAAACAGGCAGTAAACTCTTGAACATCAGCATTAGTAATTTTTTTTTTTTGATATGTTGCCCTTAGCAAGGGAAACAGAAGCAAAATAAGCTAGTGGGACTACATCAGATCAAATCTTGAAAGGAAACCATCAACAAAACAAAAAGGTAGCCTACTGAATGGGAGAATTTATTTGCAAATGATATGTAAGGGGCTAGTATCCAAAATATAAAGACCTCACATAAGTCAATAGCAAAAAATAATAATAATCTGATTAAAAATGGGCAGAAGAACCGAATAGACATTATTTCAAACAGAACATACAGATGGCCAACAGACACATGCTCAACATTGGTAATCAATGAAATGCAAATGAAAACCACAGTGACATTATCACCTCACACCAGTCAAAATGGCCTACATTAAAAAAATAAGAAATCACCCATATTGGCAAGCAGTGGAGAAAAGGCAGCCCTCATGCAGTGCTGGTGGGATTATAGATCGGTGCAGCCACAATGGAAAGCAGTATGGAAGTTTCTCATGACATTATCACCTCACACCAGTCAAAATGGCCTACATTAAAAAAATAAGAAATCACCCATATTGGCAAGCAGTGGAGAAAAGGCAGCCCTCATGCAGTGCTGGTGGGATTATAGATCGGTGCAGCCACAATGGAAAGCAGTATGGAAGTTTCTCAAAAATCTAAAAACAGAAATACCATATGCCTCAGCAATTCCACCTCTAGGAATTTACCTAAAGAAAACAAAATCACTAATTTGAAAAGATATATGAACTCCTATGTTTATTATACAATAGCCAGGATATAGAAGCAACCAAAGTGTCCATCAATAGAAGAATGGATAAAGATGTGGTATAATGAAATATTATTTCATTGAATACAGTGAAATATTATTCATCCATAAAAAATAAAATCTTGCCATTAGCAACAACATGGATGGACCTAGAGGGTATTGTGCTAAGTGCAGTAAGTCAGACAAAGACAAATATTATATGATTTCACTTATATATGGAATCTATAAAATAAACAAAAATGACTCAAACACAGACAATGGATGGTTGGTTACCATGGGGGAGAGGGATGGCAGATGGGTGAAATAAGGTGAAGGGGATAAAGAAAGAGATACAAGTTTCAAATTATAAAATAAATTCATCCTGGGGTTAGAAGTACAGCATAGGGAATATAGCCAATAGTATTGTAATTTCTTTATTGACAGATGGCTCTACACTTATCACAGTGAGCATTTAGTAATGTAAATAATTGTTGAATCACTATGTTGTACATCTGGAACCAATATAACATTGTATGTCAACTATAAAAAAAATTACTGCTCATTGACAATGCACCTGGTTACTCAAGAACTCTGAGGGAGATGTACACCGAGATTAATGTTGTTTTCCTGCCAGCTAACACAACATCCGTTCTGCAGCCATGGATCAAGAATTTCAACTTCCAGTCTTGTTATTTAAGAAATACATTTTTTAAGGCTATAGTTGCCATAGATAGAGATTCTTCTGATGAATTTAGACAAAGTAAGTTCAAAACCTTCTGGAAAGAATTCACCATTCTAGATGCCATTAAGAATATTCATGATTCATGGGAAGAGGTCACATAGCAATATGAGCAGGGGTTTGAAAGAAGTTGATTTCATGGATAAGGTTGAGGAGTTCAAGACTTGAGCGAAGGGAATAACTGCAGATGTGGAAATAACAAGAGAACTAGAATGAGAAGTGAAGCCTGAATATGTGGC